GCAGGAAGCTTGCTGATACATCTGTGTATGATTGAGCAACAGTTTAGATAAGCTGTCCATGTGTGATTAACTCTGTTAACACAGAAGGTTGCAGAAGGCTTCACAGTTTGGTTTTGTTTACAGCACGTGCCGAATCTAAGAGCACCTACAACCAGCAACATCTCTCAGATGTTTTGAAGTTCTTGAGGATGTCTTGGTTTTCCCCTGTACTGGTTCAGCTGTCTAGCAACTCTGATTCCTAGTTGAACTTGGTAGGTCAGGTTCAGTTCTAGTTGCAGTGAGGTTGGGAAGCAGTACTGAATACCTCGTTTCCCATTGTGTAAGGCACGCACAGTTTGTGCTTGTACAGTCGATCTCCTCTCCCTTCTGTTTGTTCAGAGGAATCTTGAGTTGCCAGTTGAACGCTGCCTTGATTGGGCTGCCTGTGACAAGGTCTTTCATATGTTCACTCATGCAACTTTTGCTGTTTGAACATTCATCTGCTTTGTAATTTCAACCCAAAACTTCAGTGGAACTTGGTGCTGTATGAATTCCCTAAAATTCAGCCTGCTGCTCCTCCATTTTGTTTTTGAGATTGTTTTTTTTTTTTAAGTTAAATACCTTCATTAATTTCTTTAACAACTTCTTATTCTTTCATAGCTTCTACAGTTGCTCCTCTTTCCAATACTACTATGCCGTCTTCCAATAGTACCACACCACCTTCCAATGCCACCACAGCATCTTCCAATACTACCACAGCCAGTTCTGCTACCACAGCTCATACTACTATAGGTAATATAGTGCGACTGATCATAGAATGGCAATAAACTAGGAACTGGTGAACAAAATGAAGGACAAGGGCGTTCTCCACAGGTCACTGTAGTAGCGTGACTGCTAAACATCTGATGTATGGAATACATAAACAGTGCCAAGGTTTGAAAGAAGTGGATTTTATAAAGCTGTAGCAGAGAAAATGCTTCTTTCTGATATAATTAAGAATTTGCTCAGTGGTAATTGAATTAGATTAGTCATCGCCACTAATCATGAGTTCTTATGAGTTTGATTTTTTTTGTTGTTGTTGTTTTGGCTCAGTTCAAAAATTTCTATTCTCACATGTGCTACCATCTTAGCAGTGAAGTTCTTAACAAAAAAAATCTCATCTTTAAAAGCATCTGCTGCTTTAGGGTGCTCAGAGGTAATGAGTTGATACTTGATTAGGCTCAGAACAGCCTAATGTACAATAGGTTGATGTATAGGTTTGAGAAAACCTACAAATGTTGGCACTTGTCCCAGGCACATAGTGGAATACTGATTAATTTTTAATAATACTAGTTGGGGGGTGGGGGAGGTGGTCAGAGACACAGTGTTGTGGCTTGATAATGGAAGAGCTTTCAGAGAATGGTCTATCTACAAGTGAGAGTTTGCTTATTCCAATGGTGGCATTCACAGTTAGTGTTCTGGGGACAGGGGGAAGAAAGAGGAAGCTTTGCTATCCTGTAAGTGTTATGTGCTGTCTAGACATACTACACTAAATACTTTTTTAGCACAGTAAATCCTAAGTGATTCTAAGGGCTGTTAATGAAAGTCCTTTGCTTCACTGCAGATTCAGTTGTCTTCAAGCAGGTGTCTTGATTCTTGTTTGGATACCAACATTTATATTAGTGATGGAAAAAAATGTGGTTTTGTCTGAATGAAGAAACACTGATCTGTGGAGAGCCTTGGAATATTTTGATAACAATGGCACGCATGTTGAAAAAAAAAAAATCCTTATTGCAGAAACTCGTCTTAATACCATGCAGCTGAACATATAAATTGTGTGGGGTACAGTCTGAGGTCAAAGCTTATTGTTGTTTGAGCTAAACAAGACAAATTTAATTTACATGAGAACTTCAGTGCTTGCAGACTTCACTCCTGAAGCTTATGATATGCATGTACTCTCTTTTCTCAAACAGCTAACGTCACCAATGTAACTACACATGCTCCTTTACCTACGACTGCTGTTACTGCAGCTACCACAACAACCAGTGTTCCAGGTAACTGCGAGTACTCGTATAATTAAAGCATAAAATACTTAGAAATTAGTGTGGGTTTAAAATTGTTATCTTGAAAGACTTACTTTTGCTGACAACATTAAGGTAGTATTGGTGTATCTGCTGTTGTCGCTTCAAACTTTATGGCACATCTAATTTTGTTAAAGTGATGTATGTATGTAGCACGGTAATACGTTAAGAAACCGAGCTGGTCCGCAAGATATTGGAACTCAGAAACATATTTGGTCAAATGAAATCAGCTGACCACTTTTAATAGCGTGGCTGGAAGTTGCTTGTTAACTCATTTGTCTTTGGGAGGTGGTATTTATATTTTGTTTTTCACTTGTAGTATAACAGTGGGATACCTATTTAAAAAAAAAATTGGGCTACAGTGATTGGGATAAGCTGAAGTATTTTATTTCGGCATCAGTCCTGAGTATGCCGTTGCATGAAAAGCTCTTGTAAAGTAAAGCCCTTTAAACCTTGCCATCAGCAGATGGTGTTACTTCCAGATCCATACAGGTTTTGGCTTCAGCTGATTTCTTTAAGCATAACTCTTGAGGTAAAGTACAGTAGATGGAAGATAATTTAATTTTAATTTAGGCAAAAAAACTGGAGCAAACAGCAGAGATTGGAAAATGTGTTTTGCATGCGAGCGTATCAGTGATATACTTCTGTGTAAAGGAGGAAAGCTTTGACTTTTTGAAGGTCAAGTGAAGTCCAGCTGGGACTTGCTCAGTATTGAGGTCCGGAGTAGTTTGGGTATAAATAGCTCTAGGCTTGTACAAACAGTATTTAATCAGACTTTCAGTATTGCTAATCTAAGTGTAGCTTCTGACATGTCTTTACTTTTAATTAATTTATGTTTTCTTATTGGTATATGGATGTTTTGAGTAATGTTAATACAAACAAACCAGTACTAAAATCTGTAAAACTGCTGTGAGCATTGTGTACTCACAAACTCTGTTGTGGTGTTTAACAGGTACAAATGCTACTGTGACTCCTGCACCTTCTCCACGCAAATCTACATTTGATGCTGCGAGTTTCATAGGTGGAATTGTCCTTGTTCTGGGTCTGCAGGCTGTTATTTTCTTTCTGTACAAATTCTGCAAGTCGAAAGACCGAAATTATCACACACTTTAGGACCTGCCACTTTATAATGGACTAATAGCCCAACACCTGTAGTTCACCGAACCAAAATATTTTCTGTTGCTCATGGAAGACAGCAGTTCATGATATCCTCTAAATCTCTAAAAGAAGACTTTAAAAGAATATTTTTGCAACATTATTATTGGCAAGAGGTGATACGAATCTCTTCTTAGGATTTCTTGCAATATGCTGCATGGGTTCTAATGGCTGTCTTATTTTCCTTTAGTGGCTGCTGCTGTGGGACTTTTTTTTTTAATATGCCAAATGTAGACATTCAGAGATTCTTATTCGGTGGCAACACTGTCTTGAGTAGACAATCTTGTGATGACTTATTGTGGAGGCTAATTTAATCGGCATTTCATACAGTGTCCCTTCAGTTTTATCAAGATGTGAATTATTGGTGACTGACTTCAGGGAGTGAAATACCATTTATACTAGCTTGTGGCTCTTCTAGTGTGTTGCTAAAAAGATGAACAAAATTGTAGAAGTAGGTAATGTCTTAACAGAATAACATAACAGGAATAAAGGTTGCCTGATAAAAATACTGCATTCCAAATAAAAATCCTGTGCCCCTTCCAATTAATGTTGAGGGTGGAGAGGGGCTGTAGGGATAATCCTTCTAAAGGGGAAATGAAGATTAGTGCCTTAAAAATCCTAAAATCAGTAGGCTGTAAAAGTATCCCATCTATCTCAAAGATAAATAAAATTATTAAGTACTAGCATTATATAGGACAATGGAATACGTGTGACCTGAGCATTCCAGTTTTAAAACATTTCATACTAAATGACTATCCCTTGTTGACCTTGTTTGAGGGTGGGAGAGCATGGTACAGTGATGTTCAGCTACAAACAGAAGCTTGAAATTGTTTACCATTTGTTCTGGCCTACAAAGACCAACTATAAAACTAACAATAAAATTAAGTTCACTCCCTGTATGAAAAGGCAACAACTCTACATTTATACTTGAAATACTGGTATTTGGGAAAACCTGAGATTTTTCTTAATGGTTCTTAAATGCATTGCAATTAATTTCAGGGTTTGGTTTTGTTCTTTTCTTTTTTACCCTCCTGTACATCTGCTTGCTGAAAGAGCAGTTAAGGGTAGTTCAGAGGATCTACTGATTTGATCCTAGTCAGGATTGCTGTCGTCCTGGGGCTTCCAGGGCTGTAATTTTTCTTATTTCCACTCCTTGCTTCTTCATGGCATCAGGTTTGTGTCACCCTGCAGTGAAGTGGTTAAGGAAATCAGTTGGGCCAAATAGGTTTATTTTTCCCTTGGCCAGATCAGCCATGTGATCTGAGTATCAAAGGTATGTCATCTCCAATGTAGATTGATCTGAGCACCTGTAAAAATAAACCCACAGGAAAAATGGAAGTAAACATAAAAACAAGTGGTAGATGTAGCACATAATGCATAGCTTTTGATGATATCCCTTGATCATCAGTTTCAGGATAATCTGTAGTACTGTCTTACTAGCTCTGACTTGACTGGAATTTGGCACCCAATACAAGATGATAGCATTTAATGCAGATAGTAGTCATGGCAATGGAACTTGAATAGGAAGCAAATTAAGTGCACTTCACTTGGAAACTTAAAAGTGCACAGTGTTGCTTTCTTGTGTTCTTCTGATTTGAATGGCATTGTTTCTTTTGTCCTGCATAGAAGACTCAAATTGTTACAAAATACCGAAGTTACTCACCAGTACTGTATCTTTGAGTTCATTAGCTTTTGGTTTTCTAAACAGAACTAAGACAATCAGCTCAGGTTTATTAAAACAGTGAGGTGAGCAGCCAGTTTCCAGCAACAGTATGTGTGTGGGTTAGATGGTATATTCTTGGCCTTATTGTGAAATCACTTAATCTGTCTTTTCCCTATCTCAGAACTATTTTATGACATTTATTTGTTTCAAAAGATATCCATGAGCTTGTATTCTGTGCGGAGAAGTGAGCGAAACACACTTCTTCAGTGTGACAGTTCTCTTTCAGCTCAGCAAAGCAAACTATATGCCTAGTATATATTTTTTTGGCCTCAAAGGGCTATCTTTTGGGAAACCAGTGGAAAAGTGCTACAGAACACATCATAGCATGGAAGACATTGCCACAAAAAATAGTTGCTCTGTAAAATATTGTTAAAATGGTTATTCATGAGCTATACCAATCCTCATTTAGGTTGCGATAAAATATGCTGGTAAAGCAAACTAAAAATAATTTTTGAAGTGCCTTAAAGTTGCTTAATCTTTTGCCTCAGATTTTGTTTAAAAGGGTAGAAGGGATACCTTGCCTTAGTTACTAAATTTTTCTTGGTGCCAGCAATTGCTACTTTCCAAGACTTAGGAAACCCGGGATCTCTGACACGTACAGATGCCAATGTGAAAAACTCAAGCTTGTACTATATGAATTTAATCGTGTTCTGCAAGGCCTGCACTAGGCACTGCTTGCTTGTTAGCCTTGACAACAAGGTACGATCCACAGTTCACACAGTTGTGGCTCGGATGTTTCCCTTTCAGGTGTCTGGGTGAGGGGAGGCTGGGTTATACATCTTCACCACGTGCTTGGCTGCCTCACTATAAAAAGTAGTTACTCCTTTGTGAAATGGCACTGTCAGCCAATCTGTGCTGTGTACTAGCAAAAAACCTGAATTAACAACTTGCAGTTTTTCTTGGCCTTGTGTTTTGAAGTGGAAGGTAGCTCCTAGATCTGTAGTTGCGTTTGCCCCTAAATCAGTTTAAGGCACTGAACTGTAGTGACTCTTCAAGTTATTTGACTTTTTCTTGAAGCCAACTTGTGCAAATATCAAGCTGTTATCTTATGAATGTTCTCTGCAAGTGTTGCTGTACAAGTTTGTATTTTTGTCTTCAGTGGAAGAAAACCGAAACAGTTGTAATTGCAAAACCAAATTGACAAATAAAATCTGTTGAATGGAATTTTACTTGTAAACTGTCTTTAATGTGAGCAATCACAGAGGGCACTGTCTGCCAGCTTTCTGGAGGTAAGAGCTGTTTTCTATAGGATGTGAGGAATGCTGCAGGGAGAGGGAGAATGAAGGGTTTGAAGAGTTAAGTTAGTTCTAGTATTAACTTTGCATTTTGGTATGTGCAACAACGCTGATTCAGATTTAGAATTGTCTCCAAAAGAATTCTCATTTGGGTCATGTTTTTCATGTTCATTTAACCCTGTTCTCCCCTTAAATCCAAAGAACAGCAAGAACTCTACTTGCAACAACCTGTAAGCTTAATATTCCTCTCTATTAGCAAAGCTTCTAATACTGGATGTCAGCCTGTAAGGTGGAAAAGGGACTGCAGTCACAGTTACAGGGAAGCTGTTCATAATTCCTACATAGTAGCATCTTTTCACATTAAGATCTTTGACCTTCATGAAAAAAGCCTTGCTCTAAGCCATATTTCTTTCCTGATTGCATGAGAAAGAAGAGGAGATCTGCTAGGGAATAATTGTCAGTATGCTTGAACAAGAGAACAGAGGGTGTGCAAGTCTGTAGTTGCAGACTGACTAAAATGATAACCAGCTTTGAGTGAAGTAACCTTAGTTTCTCATCGTGACCTTGATGCTTCTGTGGGTAGTGAAGGAAGTGTGAATGTGTTGCTAGGTAATATTGAGATAACTCAGTCTCATATTATGGGGAAACCGCAGAAGTGTTAGTTGTGTTTCTGGAAAGGCTGTATGGAAATGGAGGAAACCTAGAGCTTCCTGATGTGCTCAAAATTGCTATGGCTTCCAGCAAATCATCCATTCACTGAACGCAGTCAAGAACTGAATTAAGATTTTGTTACAGTGCAGCACTGGAAGCCTATCCACGGTTGTTTAGTACCATTCTTATGTTACTGTTGTTGTTTGAAGGTAGTCTTCTGTAGGTGTAACATTCATTCAAAAATAGTCTTTGAATTTTACTGTATTAGGTGGAGTAATTCTTGAAGTATTTTATTAAGAAGCTGTAATTAGCTTTAGACAGCCCTTTCCTTTTTACTGCTCCAGTGGCACATAAGTGCTTTATACTGATGATACTGTTCTACTTCCAAATTGGTATATGGTTCCTGGAATGTGCTAGAATCACATTTGATGGCTTCTCTAGTGACAGCTGACCTTGGATAATTATTGGTCACCGTTTATTTAAGGTATACCTTAAACAGAACTTGTTTTATTTGATAACTGATTCCACAGTGTTCTGAATATATTGACTTGTTTTGATGTAGCACCAAGCTTGAATGAAATAAAGCTCATCTCAGTAATGGTGAAGAATGTCAGCCTTATTCTAGGAATCCTCTGTCTCTGAATACTGCAGCATTTCTAACAGAACCAAGAGTTCCTTTACTCGGTGTTTTACCAATGCAATGCTGTTAAGGGTTGCCCAAATTGAATTCTGGGTTTTAGTTATCTATAAAAAGAGTGCCGAGGTTATTTGATTAGTCATGATCACAAGCAGCCTGGGATGGGGATGATGGTCAAAGGCACGTAGGTTAGTTAACTCCTCAAAAACTGCAATACAATTTGACACATCTCTGAAAGACAATTTGGAGTCCTTTATTGGCTATGCTATAAAAGCAAGCTTTTTTCCATGCAAGAGAAATACAGATAAACTTAAATTTCCCCCCAGCCCATTTTTTTCTAGTTAGTGGAGCATTGTGCAAGGAAATGCCCTTCTCCTTTGTAAGGGGGATGGGAAGAGGGTGCTATGGAAGATGGAGATGCTGATGCTTTTGATGAGTCATCTTTAGAGAGGCATGAAAGATTTGGTGTACAGGCAGCAACCTCTGGAGTGAGAGCTCTGCTTTGGGCAGGATGTGGTGTTTGGGGGTTGCAGTAGGAAAGCAGTTAAAAAAACAACAAAAAAATGCTAAGCTTTTTGCTCTAAGCACTCAGTTATGCTTTGCACCACCATGTTTCAAGGTTACCACAAGAAAAGGAAGCCTTTTAGTTTTGGCCGATATCATTGCCTTTCTGTTTTATGCTGCATTGTCTGTGAAGGGAGGGCATGCAGCACTGCCCTTGCTCAGGAGGAGGATATGCATCACCCCATACCTAAAATGGAACAGCAAATTGACTGACTGAAGCTGGTATTGAACACTGCATCCAAGTATGTTGAAGTACATCTGCACAGCATTGGAGTATTACTGCCTCTCTTTGAATTGTACAGAAATTGCTCTTCTCTTACTTCAAGGTTAATTTTCTAAAATGCTCTGGGCTGATCAAGAATACATCTAGGTTTACTTCTGCTTTACTTCGGCTTTTGTTTCTCTAGCTGCCTGAAGGCAGTAGGAAGAGACTTTTCATTTAGGTGTGGTAATAGCCTGTGTGCCGTTCTCTCCTTCCATTTGCCAGGCACCTAAAAGCACAAGTAATATATAAAAAGAGTCACCAACCGTGGCATGGTACTGGAAAAAAAAATCAAATCTTTTCTGGACCACTTCTAACTAAATACCTCCCTCCTGCCCCGTTTTCTTAGTCAGTTTTTGGAACATTTGTTTATTTCCTGTTTGCTAGCCATACATACTGG